TTTTCCATTTGTTCATAAATAAACACTGATTGTTTGTAACTTTCTCTTTGAAGTTCATGAAATCCACCGGGAATGCGAATGCCCGAGCTGTGTATGAGAAAGCCGTTCCACCGTACTACTACCGACCTCTGGAAAATGACTGCAAGTAAGTATTCATACAGTTTAGTGAGGCTCTTTTTCTGATGTCCCAATTGTGGAATATTTGGTAGTGCATGATGGACAAAAGACTGCTGACATGGCGCAACCACAGAAAATAGAGAGAAGTGCAACTGCAGGCTGTAGAAGTGAAATGTGTTTCAAAGCCTGCTGCTAGATCACAGGTGAAAGACGTAGGTTTTTGTGGTTTTACTGCAGAAAAATAAGTGAGACTGCTTCCACATTTTGAACTGCAGCGTCCTGAGGGATCAATGGATCCGAGCTAAATATCAGAGGATGGAGTTCAACGGGGAAATCAAGTATCCACCGCTGGCGTACACAACAGGTGAGAAATTGATTCCCTATGGGCACGAATGAGAACATAAAACCTACTATTGTTAATCCTGCTTGAGCAAAAGTTATGCTAATAATGTGCTTCCTCATACCAAACGGTGTTAGAAAAACCCGTTTTATTAACAATAACAGACAGTGGGGTATTGATTAGTTACTCATTGGAAAAACAATTAATTTGTTTTCTTGAGAAAAATCTGTGAACCTTTTCTTTCTCACAGGCTTCCATGAAGGAATTTTGTTGAAGAAAGGGAAAGAGAACATGCAGTTTCAGAAGAGGAAGTTTGTGCTCTCGGAACGGGAATTTACCCTGTCATACTATAACAAGGAAGATGTGAGTTATGAGCTGCTCGGGTGCAAAAAGAACAAAACAATCAATGTTATTTTTCTACCAAGCTTAATACAAAATCTCTCAAAAACATTCATATCCTTGAAACGGTTTGAATGTTCACTGCAAGTCTCTGTGTATTTTGGCAGAGGGTTTCTTTTCAAAGACCAACACAAAGTGTTGCGTAATTATGACTTGAAAGGACACTGATATCTGGGTTTTACAAAATCCAAGGAACACAGAAAACGGGTCAGGAATAAAAATGTAGAGAGGTTTAAAGCAGAGTTGGGTAATAAAACTATCTCCCACACTTTGACAATCTCACAGAGATTGAAAAAGCTACCAAGGTATTGTCATCCACATGAACTGACTGGTCATGTAAGGAGAGTATTTATCAGAAAATCAGCTAAGAGTTTTGTAAGGGGCACAGTGGACATGTTCTGGTCTAGTGAAAAAAATGCAGGTTTCTGGCCTACATGAAAACATTTAATGTGTGGTACAAAAACAAATAAACAAAAAACAATTGCCATGTTAAAACATGGTGGTGGCAACATCACACTGTGGGGACTCTTTCCTTCTGCATCAATAGGGATTTGATCAGAATTGATGGATGGTGCTGAACAGAACAGCTACTACCCAAAACATCTAAACAGAGCTACAACTAACTGGTTCAGATCCATGTGTTGGAATGGTGCAGTCAAAGTCCAGACCTGAATGCAGTTAGGAATTTTTGCAAGATTTGAAAGTTATTATTAACAGACACTCTCCATCTAGATTCACAGAGTTTGAACTATTTTGCTAAAAAGAATGGATATAATTGATATAAATGTCAGAATTGAAAATGTGTCAGCATCAAAATATGGCTCTAAGAAATATTGGCAAACACTGAATACAAAAATTTGTGCACATTTATGTTAACTTATTTTCTTATGTCTGACTTTGCTGAAGTACTTCAACATGTCTGTGATTTAGGAGTCAAAAGGCCCTAAAGCTGTAATCTCCATCAAGGATCTGAACGCCACCTTTCAGCCACAGAAGATCGGTCATCCTCATGGGCTGCAGATTACATACCAGGATGAAAATAAAACCAGGAACCTCTATGTCTACCACGAGAGCTCTGAGGTGAAACGGCATGATCACAAAACTGAGATCTTTTGTGTTTATTGTTTTAAAACTGGTTTTGGAGCCTTACATATTGTTTTTGACTCCCTGTGCTTCAGGAAATAGTCATCTGGTACAACTCCATCCGCGCTGCTCGCTATGCATACCTGAAAACCGCATATCCAACTGGAAGCGACGAGGACGTAAGACCTGACTCACCTTGAATGGCTCACATTCCTCTCCGGCACTTTTTATCATTCCTTTCAATTCTACAACTCTTTTCTCATTCTTTGAAAGTAATTTGTCACGCATTTACAAACTTCACTGAGTATCTTGTATTTTATTTGAATAAAAGGATCAAGTTAGAGAGTTTGAATTATCTGTTTGTGACAGCTGGTGCCGATGATAACAAGAAATTATCTAAAAGAGGGGTACATGGAAAAGACGGGGCCTTTGGTAAGTAAAGAGCATCATGTTGTTATGTGTTTTGGTTAATTGCTCCTTTTTTGCACAGCTTGTTTTTGTAGCAATGGAGCATTTTATTTCCTGTCGTCCATTAGCTATTTTTGACATTATTTGCTCTGAGATGTACATTTGAATGTTTCTGTTCCTCTTTCACACATGGACACACACACACACACACACACACACACACACACACACACACACACACACACACACACACACGCACTCACGCTAACACCAAAATAACTACACAGTAGGTAACTTTGTTAAGAAATTTTCTTCTAAGTGGAGCATATTCACGGATTCTTTGGATTGAACATAATTTATGTTTAAACAGCAGAAGGAGTCTTTCAAAAAGCGCTGGTTTATTTTGGACTCTCAAAACAGGAAGCTGCTCTACTTCAAAGACCAACTGGTACAGACCACACTTCTTCTAACGCTAGTACCAGTCTACCGCTGTGTAGACATCTGGCATCAAAACTTTGATTAATTTGAGCATCTTTTCAAATCGCTGTTGCTAAAACAGGACGCAGAGGAGTTAGGGGTCATTTTCATCGGGACAGAGAGCAACGGCTACTCCGTGAAGGAGTGTGTCCCGAAGCACACGCGGGGCAACAAGTGGAAGTGCGGCATCATGGTGGAGACGCCGGAGCGCCAGTTTGTGTTCATGTGCGAGCAGGAGAGGGAGCAGAAACAGTGGCTGAATGTCCTGAGAAAGGTGCTGTCCAGGCCCATGTCACCGCAGGATTACTCCGGTAAGAGAAGGAAGCCAGGAGTGTGACTGTGAAGCACAGAGCAGATTGCCCCTCTCAGGGTTAATGTTGCTGAGTCGATCGGAAGAGGGGAGGCAAAATTAGAACAGAAAAACTGTTCTCAAAAATATTCTTTAATCTTTTCCTAGGCAAAATTTGACAATTTTGGGTTTTATTTTTGATTACACCAACATGAGTTAGAAAAATACAGAGGTTAAAAGACTGTAAACTGGTTTAGGCAAACTGTGAGTGAGGAAAAAATATTTATTAAAGTGACAGGTTTTCCTGTATGATCAGTTTGCTCAGTAGAGAAACGGTCAATAATAAAAGGAAGACTGATGTTGTCTGGCACCAATAACTCTCAGTTCTGTAATTTATTTTGTCAGCTAGATTGCGATACATTCCACTCAAATTGCTGGTTTCATTGGTTGGCAGTCTTGTCGGTCCACTTTTTTTAGTAACGAGTAATCTAACGCGTTGCTATTTCAAATCCAGTAATCAGATTACAGTTCAAAATCACTTTGCGTTACTATCTTCTCTTATTTAATTGTATTCCCTCTATTTGTGTTGTAAAGTGACCGACTTCTCTATGCGACAATAACAGCGACAGAAATGTAAACAATGGAGGGAGATGCACATTTTGTTGGTAGAAAAACAGAAACTATTTTAAATTTCTGTCGCCAAGTCCAATTATTATAAGTAGTTTTGAACTCGCTTTAAAAAAAAAAAAAGCAATAAATGTTAAAACATCCACGAATGAACGAGTACGTAAAGTTGTGCAACTAAAGTTACTTTTCCAAAGTGACTGTGCCATCACTGTTGGTTGGTAACTCAGTTTAGGAAAATAAACAAAACCTAATTGTCTAAATAAATTTAGGCAATTTAGAATTAGAATTTAGATCCTGTTTCAATGTATATAAATATTTCTCCATGTACTTATGAATAATTTTACTCCACGAAAGTGTTATAAATGTGTATTTTGTTCACAAAACATTATGGACATTGCTCTTCAGAAAAGATTCATTTAGCAAATTTCTAAAGTTTTGACTTTTTGTTTTTCCAGCTCAAGCCCATATAAGGCATAAGAGATGAACCATGAAGAATTGCAACAGCAGAGATGATCATGAGAAGACTGCATCCAAGATCTAAATGAACTTCTGTCACTGCATTGAATCAGACCTGACACTGAATAATAACTTCCTGTTATAAGCTCACACCAGCATGATGCTCAGTCCTTGGTTTAAAAAAGCCACATCAATATAATCTGATATTACATTGATGCTGTGGCAGTGTTGTTCCATATCACCATGCTAACTCGACATTTCTTAATTTCTAATTATTTGAAAAATAATTCCACAAATATTTATTCTTTATTGGGCTAATAGCATTCAATTAAATGTGTTGAAAATGTACTTAGACAATTATGCTCAGAAAAATAAATGACTTTTATATATAAGGTGTGTCTTGACTGCTGTTAAAAATGTGTATGAGGAAAAAGGTGATTTGTGAAAAAAAAAGTGTATATTTGTCTTTATAAATACGTGTCTCTTATTTAAACCCTTTTTATGCAGAGGCAGTTTTCTGCAGCTTGTTTAGTGTGTTTAAGCGCCCCCCTGTGGTAACTAAGTGCTTTACTACCGCTGTAGAAATACCTAACAAATATTTCTACATGAATATATGAGATTAGGGCCTCATATATTCTAGATTTGTCTTTAAGAGGAGCTTGACGAGGGGACATTTAATGCAAGAACCGCCGTTGGAAGTAGCCGTTGAAATAATCCTCGTGCATTTCTACACTTTGACGCCAGAGGGCAGCATAACCGCTTGTTATATTTGGGCTTTGAGAGTTTTGTCCTACATGGCTCACTGTAGCAGCCCGGTGTTGGAGGTCGGGCATGCTCCTGAAACGTCCACTGCGAACTGATCCACTGGCGCCGAAATGAGCGCGATTAAGATGAAAATACACGCAAACAAGACACAGAAACGCTTTTAAGTCGTAATTTTACCCAACGGTTAACCCGCGACTGGGACGCAAAGCGTGGAGGAACAGCAGAAGAGCTTTGGGAAGTGTCCGTCCGTTTTGTCCTACAAAGGCGGCGGGTGTTTGACAGCGGGAGGGCCCGACGTTAGGAAACCGCTGCGGCTGAAGGAGGAGGAGGCAGGAGAAGGAGGAGGAAGGCTCTCTGAAGACTCAATGAAACATTAAGGAGTCATTTCTGCTGAGGGAAGCGAGCTGAATCATGAGGAAGGACGTGAGGATACTCCTTGTTGGAGAGCGTAAGTAGAGGGATGTAGTCGGTAAATATGGCAGACTGATAAAATGAGCTAGAGGTTACTGCTAGCTGACAGAGGCTCTGAAATCCAACCGGTTAGCATGGATTCTTTTAATAACATGCCAGTATATGATGTATGCAGGGATTATTGCCTATTTTTCCGTTTTAGCTGAGGTTGCTAGTCTTTTAATTGTTTACTGATTATTGTAAATTTAGAAACTGGCTCTTTTATTGTCACCATATATCTCTAATTAGTTGAATTTGTACTCATTTTCACCATTCTACCCAGATTTCTGGTTCTTTTGAGGCTTATACAAATATTTTAACCATTTTGTTTGTCTAAATTTTAGTTAAAACATGTTGGCAACATTTTCCAATGTAACATTAATTATATTTGAAGAAGCACTTGTGTCTTAAAAATTAAGATTTGCTGAAAATCATTTCAAAGAGCAAAATTATGGGATGGTTTGTGTCCCATAATTAAAAAAAAAACTGTAAAAAATGCCCCAATTACCATTTTAAATATAGCATTCAACATTGAAATCCTGAATTTTAATGGTTAAAGGAAATGTTATTTAACTTGTAACTGTCATTTTATTCATTCTGTTAATGTCACCATTAAAAACAGCCTCAGAAAATGTTCTGCCTTGAAACCAAAAGGCATTCTTTGTGTTATAATTCTTAGTGTAAACAAAATATTGAAATTTTGATCTATTTCATTCTTCAGCTACAACTATGACAGCTTTACTCTGTCATAGTAAATGATCAGCAAAATGCACAATGAATACAGTTCTGGGGATATTTTTGTTACAAAAATGCATCAATTAAATATTTTCTTCCTGATTCTGAATTAATGTTTTCTTTGAGGTCTGACCTGCTGACTACAGTTGATTTAGACAGAAAGAGAAGATTGGAGCTATTTGTGCATCAGAAAGTGTAGCCCCAACCTTTATTTGCTTTTCATTAAAATGAAATAAATGCATAAAAGTAGATACCGTTAGTCAATGCTACTGTTGACCAATATAATGGAAGTTATTTGATGGATGTAAAATAAATATTAAGATTATTCAGTGTTTGACCTGACGATCACAGAGCCAAGCTTTAATAGGGTGATCTATTTACTAGAAGCAAAATAGAATTGCATCTTCTATTTTGGATGTAATGTTATTATTTCATTTACTTATTCGAAGGAAATATCTGCTTGGCAAATAAAGTAGCTGTAGATTTGTGTAATGTTTTTTTGGATTATCATAAAATGCTGATTAGTAAACTACATTTACTAAGAATTTTGTTTTCATATTACTTGTTAGACTTTAATTAAAGCGACTGGCTTGAATATCTAAACATATTTGTTATGGATTAATTGTGTATTCAATTTACAAAAATATCATTGACATTTAATTTACTCTAACAAACTGTTCTAGTTGGCACAAGTTATTCTGAGGAAATAACAGTTTAATATCAGAATCCCAGCTTTCCCCCCAAACTTTGCAGGTATTGAATCACGTCCTACTAAACGTTCCTTCACCTGGTTTGTTTGTTCTCCTGACACGTTGTCAGGACTATTTATATTTAATCGCTCCATTTGGCGAGTAGGACGGTTACTGAGAGCAGAGCGGCCAAACGCTACGTGACATCTGAAGTGGAGCTACTCAGCTGTCTGAGAAGCAGATAGTTGTAAAATAAAAATTTATCTATTTTTGAAAAAAAAAAAAAATCTATGTTTCTGCAACTTTTCACTTACTTTGTTAATCTTACTGGATTACAAACATATTTTTGCAGGTGAATGTGGTTTTGTATGTTCTTACAAATGCTAAATGCTAAATTATCAATTTAGCATTTAGAGTTTTTTCTCCAAAAACTCTATTTTTACAACAAACACGTGCATAGATCAGAAAAAAAAATTCTCCTAATTAATTTCAGTCAGTGGGAAATATTTTTAAAAATATTTTGATTGATATGCGTCATACATACATGTATGTATGTATGTATGTATGTATGTATGTATGTATGTATGTATGTATGTATGTATGTATGTGTGTGTGTATGTATGTATGTATGTATGTATGTATGTATGTATGTATGTATGTATGTATGTATGTATGTATGTATGTATGTATGTATGTATGTATGTATGTATGTATGTGTGATGCAGGTATTGTAATTATTTATAACTAATTTTAGGGTTGCACTTCATTTTGGGGAAAAATCAATATATCTTATGAATGGTTCAATGCAGACATGACTCTGATCAATCAATCAATCAATCAAATTTTATTTGTATAGCACATTTCAGCTACAAGGCATTTCAAAGTGCTTTACATCATAAACACAAAACACAAAGGCATGCAACATAGAATAAAATACCAAGTTTTTTTTTTCCTTTTTTTTTCTTTTTTTTTCCTCTTTTTTCCCTTTCTTCCCCTTCCCTTTGACACGGAATTTAAGCGCCTGTTACCGCCGGACTCCGCCGTCCGTTTAACCACGGGTATTCGCCGGGCCCCGTTGCCCACAACAGGAAAAAAAAAATAAACAATTACCTGAAAAGAGAGTTAATGTTTTTGGACCTATTTTATAGGAAGAGACAGGATGATAAGCAATCTCTATTGTTTATGGAAAAGTATAAAATTAGTTGTTTTCATCTCAATATCATTTTATTGAAAATGTTGCTTCGTCACAGAAAATAGCTTTAGCAAAGCCTCTAATTACCCTCCTAAACATTTTCTGTTTTATAAAACAACAAATATCACTAAATATCACAGAGAGCCTGAATGCTTGGGATTTAAAAAATGAGCTAAAATTTATTGCGATTTAAGAAGTTATTTGAAATATTAATATTACACCCAGTCATATTTACTCAATGATCTTCTTATCTTTAATGTTTCTCCAGACATTTGCATGCCAGATGTTTTTTACATGTCAGATGTTTTGGGACCTTTTGTTGAGTGCAGAGTTGTGAAGCTTTTTATAGCAATCCTTTGAGAAGACATGCAACGCTTTTCAATATTTAATGATGCAGACAGTATTTCTCTTAATGTAGTAAAACTGTTTCCTGTTGCTGCACCCATCATCTAATCATGCTAGTATAAATGTCAGACTGCTCTTAATAGTTTCATTGTTTCCCTTTTGTCCTGCAGCCAAGGTGGGGAAGACGTCACTGATCATGTCTCTGGTTAGTGAGGAGTTTCCTGATGAGGTACGTGTCAACGTAAGATCTGACAGTGTTATATGTCAGATTTTAACTGTTTATTGCACACATATTTGTGTTTTATACATTTGTTGAAGTAAAAAATGACGTCAGCCTGGATTATAATGGTGGTCTGTCTGTCAGGTTCCTCTGAGAGCTGAAGAGATCACCATTCCAGCTGACGTGACCCCAGAGAGGGTTCCCACACACATCGTGGATTACTCTGGTAACTCTGTCTCTACACACACACACCCACACCCACACCCACACACACACACACACACGTTCTCTCAGAAAAATTATGGAAGTGTACCAATTAACAAACCCTTCAGTTTTAAACCAATTTAGCCTTCCTGCACTTGTTCATACTTTAAATTTCTTTTAATACACATCTACCAGGCTAGAATTTTTACTTACAATATTGGCTCAAGCTTTAATCACTAGGTTACCTATTTATGTGTCATTGTTATTTAGATTCTTGATATTCCAAGAGTTTCTCCAAATAAAGTATCCAACAGAAAAATATAAAAATTGAGGAGGTATGGAAAAAAATGTCATTGATGAATGTTTTTTTTTTAAATCATGTTTAGAAGCAGAGCAGACTGATGAGCAGCTGTATCAAGAAATATCCAAAGTAGGTCTGATTTCACTCTCGTTGTTGGTTTACCTCTTGCGTCTCAAGCTGATGTTTTCTGTTTCTCTTTGCAGGCAAACGTGATCTGCATAGTTTATTCAGTTAACAACAAGAAGTCCATCGAAAAGGTGAAAATAATTTCCCTCCACATTAAGCACAATTACAACTACAATGCATTTAGAAACTGAATTTACTACCCTAAATATCAGAGCTGACCAAGGCATACTTTCTGCTCTGTCTGGAAAAATGAACTTTGATTATGATTTTAATACTTTACAGATCTGGATAACAAATATTTTTCTATGCTATTTACTTTCCCAGTTTGAAGCTTCTCCACTTGAATCTTGATGAATGTAGAAATATTGAAAAAAAATTAAAAGTCCGGTTTTGTACCGAGATCTCAATATTAGCTGATAAGGTTTAAAAACTTTGGTAATTTGTCTCTGGAACTGTAGTAAAAAAATATGTTTTCTTGATCAAATCTTGATCAGATCATTTGCAGAATGTAATTCTGTATCTTCCTCCTAAAGGTGACAAGCCACTGGATTCCTCTTATAAACGACCGCACAGATAAAGACAGCAGGTGAGTAAATGCTACAGTAACAATTATTCTTTCATAGTTAACCCTTCACATACTTTTTCAGTTCAGTTAGTTACAGAAAGCATTTTAAAGTGTTTATTTTTTCTGGTTTATCTGATTTGATTTGATTTGATTTGATTTATTTGATTTAAAAAGAAAAAAGAAAATCTATTAAAGTGCTACTAGCAAAGATTTTTGTCTTCACAGACAGTTTTGTTGGTGATAACATTGTTGGTGATGCTGATTGGTTTTATGTTGATCAGCTTCATTATTTCTGTGATAATAACTGGCTGTATTTCAGGGTACCACTGATTCTCGTGGGGAACAAGTCGGACCTGGTGGAGCACAGCAGCATGGAGACCATCCTGCCCATCATGAATCAGTACCAGGACATTGAGACCTGTGTAGAGGTAAAAAACTGATTCAGTCCCTTTACTCTTCACACAAGATGATGAATATAATGTAAGTAGGCTGCAGGATCAGGCTTAATTACACCAGAGTGATGAACCTATGAAGCGGTGATGGACCTGCTGAGAGCACAGATCCGACCCTGACTCCGTTTACATTCTGGCTGAGTCATTAATGGGTTTATGTTACGAGTCCCTCGCTCAGACCCCCTGACGTGGCTGGGAGCACGCTGAGTTAGAGGCCTGGCTGGCATCTGTCTGCATTGCTGCTTTTATTCAGATTTCCACCATGCCACACATCCCAGTGCAGCTTTTCCCTCTTCAGACAGATCGGTTACAAGGTTAGAGGAGCTCAGCAAGGAGGACGTGAGCAACGGCACATACACTGTTGGCACAGATTTAGACTGTCACACCTACCGTACTAAACGGTGACTTACTGCGGCCTCAGAAAGGACAGGGGTTACAATACACAACATGGAGACGTGGTTCAGTTGGTCCTACTTATTAGCAGAGGATGTAGGCATGTGATGCTGATGGTTTGATAACTCTGAGTTAATGTACCAGAGTTTACAGTATTTACACAAAAATCTCATATTGGATAATCATCACAGAAAACTCTTGACTCATTCTCCAACATCAAAGACTTCAACCTGTGGAAACAATATGAGATTTTTGAAAATGTAACTGGTTAAAACCTTTGTTTGATTTGAGCAATTCATTAAAATCTTCACCCCAAAAAATTAGGTTCAGTTTGCTGCATTTTTGTGAGGATTTGCAAAAACAATTTTAGTTTTAAACATTGATAGATGTTAAAAACTGCAAACAAAAGGTGAAAACCTAAATTTAAAAGAGATTTGTGTTGCTGAAATAAAGCCAACTCTGAAGTCAACAGGAAGTATTGACTTTGGAGAAAGAAGTGCCTTTGTTTGCAGAATAAGTCGATACGTATGAGGAAATTGATCTTTATGAGAATAATGCATTAGTATTTTGCATATGTATTTATCTCTATTATTGAATCACTGCTTAACCTTTTTTTCTGCGCATATTTCTAGTTTGACATTTCAGAATATTTTGTTGATCTTTGAACTTTTTTTCCCCAGTGTTCTGCCAAGAACCTGAAGAACATCTCTGAGCTTTTCTACTACGCCCAGAAGGCTGTTCTCCACCCGACGGGGCCCCTGTACTGCCCAGAGGAGAAGGAGGTGAGGTTTATTAGAAGCAGAACACATTTTAAAGTCTGAAAACGCAGGGTAAACTTTTGTACTGGTAGGTGTTTGGTGTGTTGCGCAAGTCAGGTATTTCTTGGCTGTTTTCCCTGCAGGCATTTTGACAGGGCAAACTTGTTGCATCTGTGTGATTGCTATCAATAACTCCGGTGCACTTCCTGCTGTGGCATAGCTAGATGTTAGCTTCGATAGCTCACATTTATAAAAGTGGAAATTGTTAGAGATCAGAATTACCCTGCCAATCATGCTTCTGATATTTCTCTAATGCATGAGAAATATTAAGTATTAATATATTAAGTATTCGTCTAAAATTATATGAGAGATTTGAACTTTAATAAACTTGTTGGGAAAAGAAAATAGTTCCTGTTTGTGAAATGTTTGCTGCAATAAATCAGTTCAGCAAAAATAATAATCATTTTGGAATTAGAAAGTCATGGTAACATGAAGTTTATTTTAGAAATGCTGCTTTTAGGAATTTTGGTGCTGAAGGTCTGACCTGGTGATGCCCATTTTAGACTATTTTGATTTCTTTTGAATAGATTCAAGCTCAATCTTGCATATAAAAATAAAAAGTCCGAACTAAAGAGTATTTTTTTTCTCTCTCTCACGTCACCTTTAGTATATCCCATTATTTTTATATTAAATTTTATGTGTGTTGCAGTTGAAACCTTCCTGCATTAAGGCTTTAACTCGGATATTTAAAATCTCCGACCTGGACAACGACGGGGTCCTGAATGACAACGAACTCAACTTTTTCCAGGTATTTCCTTAATTATGCACCTGATTGCCAGATCTGTTGCTACAGAAATTAATATAACCTTATTTAAAGAGGCATATTTAAGTATAGACAAGTCTGGGAAAACAACTCTCAATGTCTTGTTGCTTATTTTTACAGAGAACCTGTTTCAACACGCCTCTGGCACCTCAAGCCTTAGAAGATGTGAAGAACGTGGTGAGGAGAAACATGACAGATGGAGTCAGAGACAATGGACTCACCCTCAAAGGTCAGATTTTGTGCCTCTTTGGTTCCTTTTGCCTCTCTGCCAGGTTTTGACTGGATCTCACTCTCTCATTGGTCATTCCAGGCTTCCTCTTCCTGCACACTCTGTTCATTCAGCGAGGTCGACACGAAACCACGTGGACGGTGCTGAGGAGGTTCGGCTATGACGACGATCTGGAGCTCACGCAGGAATATCTGTTCCCTCTGTAAGCCTTTACTCAAGACACAGTTGTGTTTAAAACTAAAAATATAAAACTGCAATACAACACACCAGAATTCAAAAGGCCACCCAGAGAGAGGAGTCCAGGAAGCAAACCAGGCCAGTTTATTCTCTGTGACTCTTACTGAAAACAGTATTACACTTCCCTGTGTTTAAGAGTGTAATAAAAAAAATTAAAAAAACTCTTAAAATGTTTTGATATTACCTCCTGGCCATGAAAACCTGCCAGCAGTCATATATTTCCCTTTCCTGTGTGGTTGCTGGTGTTGCCTTATGTAACACAAAGTGACCCAGAGTCCATTTTGTTTAGATGCCGCTGTTGGAAACTCATCAGGTCAGCTGCTGAACTAATGTTTGTGTCTATTTCAGGGTAAAAGTCCCTCCAGACTGCACCACCGAGCTAAACCACAACGCTTACCTCTTTCTGCAGAGTGTCTTTGACAAACACGACAAAGTGAGTGGTCAAGCATATCAGAGCGGTTTAGTTAGTTTGTGGACAATTAGTTGAAAATGCACTCCTAATTTTAATGCAGCAGTTTTTCTGCCAAAACCAAAAGTGTAACTTGTTTGTTTTAATGCAGGACAGAGACTGTGCACTTTCCCCAGAGGAAGTGAAGGACTTGTTCAACGTGTTTCCCTACATGCCCTGGGGTCCAGATGTCAACAACACGGTGTGCACCAACGAGGAGGGATGGATCACATACCAGGGATACCTCTCCCAGTGGACGTGAGTGGCTCTCTATTAATACATGCATACAGGGGCTCTTTCCCACCAGCTTTGATTAACTCAAATGCCTTCAACACAAGGTCACACACCAGAGTTTCAGAGCGTCTAAGTCCTGACTCCTCTTTGATTTGCTGGCAGGTTAACAACATATCTGGATGTCCAGAGGAGTTTGGAGTATTTAGGTTACCTCGGCTACTCCATCATCTACGAACAGGAGTCCCAGGCTGCTGCTATTACTGGTAATGGATCATATTGTCTTTAATGTCAAATGTTTTTTAAGTAAGCTGCAGTTGAACAAGTAAACAGGGATTTTAACTAAGCAATTAGTTAAAATTGTTTAGCTAACAGTGATCAATTTAATCTAAATGGTTTTGTTTCTGTGAAAGTGTCTAAAAATTGTTAAACATATGCAACTGTATAATTGTTATACTTATTTATTTGTTGTTCTTACATTATGTGTCAATTTCTTTCTTAGTGACGCGTAGCAAGAGTATTGATCTTCAGAAGAAACAAACGCAGCGCAGCGTCTTCCGGTGTAACGTGTTGGGGGCGCGCGGCAGCGGGAAAAGTGGCTTCCTGCAAGCTTTCCTTGGCAGAAACCTGCAGGTCAGTCAGAGCAACTATGAAAACATTTTAGAAAATGTATCCCATATTATTTATTTCAGATGTTTCACATAATTTACTGATAAATATGTGTATATGTAGAATGTTGCAAATTACAATAAATGTAAGTAATTGAGAAAATGAAACTGAGTGAGGAAATGTTTGCTTTATAGAAAAAGCTAATGACTAATTATCTTAGTAGATTTTGTTGATTTATATACAAATTATCTATGATTTGCTACATAATTTGATGTTAACAATTAATTTTATTCATTAGTATTTTGACTTATCAACTGCAATACACTCATTCAAAACCTAGACGATGCATTTTCACGACATTTTTTTAACAATGGACTAATTTTGAAGAGCGTACATTTAATGTAGGAATAGCTTGTTTGTATTTATAAGTCTAATACTTGCAGATTTAGAACAAAGCTAATTTATTTTAATCCAGATGTCAAATAAACTGTTAAACAGCCGTAACCTGCACTTTCCATTCTTCAAAATGGCAAAGACAAGAGAACATGCCATTCAAGTGAAACAAAGATTTGTTGCTGTTTACAAAATGACTAAAATGAAAAAAAAAAGCAACTTCCACCCTAAACTGGCTCACATCTATTTCTGTAAATAAATAGTTCAAAATTGACTTATTTTAACTCAAAGCAAAAATGTTCCATTAAGTGGATAATATTGACTTCATTGTTCACCACAGAGACAGATGCGGATCAGAGAAGACCACAAGTCCTACTATGCCATCAGTACGACCTATGTTTATGGTCAGGAGAAGTACCTGCTGGTAAAAACCTTTTATTCTGAGCAGAAGCTCTCCGGATTACTGCTAAATAATCGCTTTGTATTACAGCTTCAGTTCGGGGCTCACAGTTAATCCCTCCGTCTCTTGTCCGCTCTCCGCCAGCTCCACGAGGTGATGTCAGATTTCGACATCCTGTCCGAGCCCGACCTGGCCTGCGACGTGGTCTGCCTTGTGTACGACGTCAATGACCCTCGTTCCTTCGAGTACTGTGCTAAAGTCTATAAGGTGCGGCTCCAGACGGTTAGATTGATAACTTTCTGTGTTAATATCAGAGCAAAACGTTTGATTATTTCTTTCTGCAGGAATGCTTCATAGACAGCAAAACGCCCTGCGTCGTTGTCGCTGCCAAGTCCGACCTGCACGAGGTCCGGCAGCAGTACAGCCAGTCACCGCTCGACTTCTGTCGCAAGCACAAGCTCCACCCACCGCAGCCGTTCACATGCAACACGGCCGAAGCACCCAGTAAGGACCTCTACACCAGACTCACCACCATGGCCATGTACCCGTGAGTATCAAAACACAACCAAACCTTTTACTCCTCATCTAACCTGTCCTGCTTTTTTCTGGAAGAATAGCTGACCATAAGAAATTAAACACCATCAATTTTATCTACATGATGTGACTCACCTGAAGTTGTTCAAGTTTGGCCTCAGTCTCTGAAATCAAGTTTCCACATTTCCACCATGCATCCCAGAAAAATATCTTTAACGCTTTATCTCTAATAAACTAGAGCTGAATAGTTTCATTCAGTTATTAAAGTTCTTCTAAACCTGATTGGTGTCTTACAAACTCAAAGCTTTTGATCAGATTAGAATTCAGATTGGATTATGAAGCACTTAAAGGGATATGCTTGTTTAATCTCTTTGTAGCAGTTTTTAGAGCCCCATTCTTTAAATACTGAAATCACACAATCTGCTGAGTGCGAGTAGCACTTTGTCAGTCTAAATAAAACTCATGGCAGATGGGCTTCTGGCTCCACTGAGGTTTGGTGATGTTGGAGGTAAAATCTGCTTTTAACATTAGATTATTATGAAAACCAGCTTGTGTTTATTTTATTGATCTTCTTTAGGCTGACTGACTTCATGCTTTACTTCTCAGTAAACAAGTTTACAACCAGCAGGTTTTTGTAGAGAATTGTTTTCACATTATTTGAATTTTTGCAAATGTATGAATTTGATGTGATCAAAGTGATAAACGTCTGACTGGACATGGACGTATATTTGTCCTGCCACAATACACTAAGCAGCAAGGTCAGGATAAAGCTGCTGTGAGGAGTATTTATCTTTTCTTTCAATGGTAATGAAGGATAAATATGTGTATAAAAAAAAGACTCATTCTCACTTCCATAAGTTTTATTTAAATTCTTTTGGCTAAAATTTAACTCTACTTTTAGCCACATGTAATTTGTCTGCTTTAAGTCGACTTGAATCTTGCATATACATTTTCCTGATCTGCTGTTTTAGATCCTTCTACGTCTTTAAAAATGATTTCTTTACACATTAGTGAAATATTTATGCAAGGAAGGGTTTAGTTTAACATTTAGCATTTATTTCTGATTGATGATTCTGTTTAAAACATTTTCCATCACTGAAGGAATTAATACAAATTAAATAAAACGATTTTTTTTCTCTAACACATTTTATACAAATTTGTTCTGCTGAACGAAAAGATTAATTTATTTTAAAGTATTTTTGGTCAAGTTTACCAGGGGTGCCTACGAGGCTTTCATTCCAAACATTTTAACTTTTTTTAGTTGGTCATCAGTTTTTCTTCCGCAGCGACTTCTGTTAAATTAATCTCTATTGATTCACGCGCAGAGTTGAGCCACAGCTTTGCTTTATGTATTTGTCAGTGTTTATGTAAAAATACTCCATTAACCTTTTGTGCTTCAGTTTTGTGTCCTGCAGCATTTCACCAAGCGATTGACGTAAAAACGCCGGTACCCTGCATGAAAAGCATTAATAAAAGCCATAAGAGAAAAAAAACAAAGCATAACAATAATGTTTTTTTATATAACTGTTTAGCTGCAGCACAACATAATTTTAAGCCTGATGTTAGAGGAAAACACTCACATTTTTTAGGTTTTCTCACCCCTCGGTCTCTTTCTAAACATGTGTAATCTCAGTGACTAATTAGGGAAATATGTAAAATAAATTGTTTGTCTGGTCCTCCTCAAAACTTGATGCTTTAGTTAAGTGTCCATTACCATTTTTCTCTGAATTAAAGTAAAAAACAGAAAAACATGAACTGATCCAGTCTTGTAGTCAACAAATTGTTTTCCACGTTTACTGATTGCTCCGTCTTCATCGTTTTGTATGCTGTTTGCTGTGTGTTGTGTTTCTCTCTTAGTGAACACACACATCTCTCTGTGTCTGTCCGCAGCCACGCCCGCCTCCGCTGCATGTGTTCCCGCAGCAGGTGCACTTATTGCCTGTGTCAAAACCTCCTCAAGTTGGAGCTGCTGCGCAGCATTAAGGCACAACTCCGCAGGGTCGTTTACAACAGGTTCATACACAGATGAAGCCGTAGTGCTTTGCCATAGAATCCCTGCTCTTCCTCTCCAGACTCAGTAACACTGCTGGCAGTCGTAGCTCCTCTGCTCTCCCTCAGTTTTTGGCAGCAGTCAGATTTCCTCTGCATTTCCACTGCAGGAACTAAAAGAGTCTCGTTAGATGCAGAACAGGAATGGTTTTGGTCGCTGTCACAGAGTGAAGCTGTTAAATGAAAAGACTTGAACACATCAATGCACTTGTATGTTTTGGATCATTTTAAATGAGACGTCCTCGTTCATTCGGTGTTGGATGTCTTGGTTTCTGCTGCAGCTCCAGCCGGTCGAGCCGCTCTCTGTTCAGTCTGGCACATGGCGGTGTGACCAGCCTGTGCCGGCTGACGCCCAGGCTGCTAGCCAGGGAGGTACCGTGTGTCTGCGTGGAAGTGGCGTGTTGCATGCTGCATGACTGCAGCGCGAGCTAAACGGACAGGGAAACGTTTTTGTTTTCAGAGGCTTTTTTTTATTAAATGAGGATTGATTTATTAAAGCGAGAGACGTAAATACAACGTTTGCACATTTTTAAGCCAATAATTATAAGTTTGTCCCAAGGCTTGACAGTATAATCTCTCAATTTCTTATATTGACAATTTCCAATTTTAAGCATTTTCCCCTCATTTCTTTTCTAGTAAAAATAAATTACAATTGACAGAAAATATTTTCAAAACTGGCTCTTATTGAAATTGTCCCTTTTTTGAGTTGTACGTTGGAGTTTCAGGGCCTGACTACCAGAGGAAAATTTATTACAAGAATATATTCATAATATTAGCTGTATTAAGACAATTTATTTTGTTCCTCCTTCGAAATATTTAGTTGTTTACATGATTCTTTCAAAGTCTGGCTACAGATAATTTGATGATGATCTTTCAAAAGTATTTTAAAAAGTATTTCTGTAAATTATCTGTATACTCTTCCCTCCTTTAATTTAGTTTTGGAGTTCTAATAAAATGACTACTTTATTCTTTTGATATTATGACTTTATTCCTGGAATTAAAAAATAAATAAATTAATCTTAACCTGGTGCTGCTATTCCATCATTGAGTTGACCTGAATTCAAAGTCCAAATAAATAAAAGCTGTGAAACTCGATTGTCAAACAACATGGCCGCCCTGGGCGTTCTGACATCACTCTGAACTATGGAATTCCAAGAAGTGCATTTGTGGGGAAAAAACATAAAAAATTCAGATTTACCAGAAATTAAATGTTCAAAAACCTAAAATATGACTAATTGATCAAGTTGAATTTACTTCCAAGCTCTAGTTTGGAGTTAATGTCACTTTTGATGCATTTAAAGATACAGAAAACGAACTAAAACTTCTCACAGCCTTTTCTAGCTTGTGTGAATCGTCAGATCGGTGAGCTGTTTGAGGTCCTGCAGTGGATTTCCAGACTGTAAACTCTGACTTAATTATATACAAAATGAGAGAAACACAGACAGTCTTCTGTTTGTGTTTCATCTGCTCTGAAAACTTCATTCTGTTCAGCATGTTCAATTTCTCACTGAACTCAAAAATCCCAAACACTTGTTTTCTCTGGATAACTTTAATCAGCTGCTGGTCTGATAAGATTTGATGTTTTCAGTCTCATTTTGTCTTTATTTCTTTGCCTAATGCTCAAGTCTTAACACACAGTGGACCATAATATTTCTGCTTTATATTTATACTAGAATTGAACATAACCAGGTTATGTTCAATGTCTCCTGTGTGTTAACGCCTGATGAATTTGATTAACAGGCTTTTTGAAATCGGAATGTGTGTTTTTATATTTTTTGATTGATTAAATTGCACCGATCACTTTCATTTCATCCTGTTTTTCTTTCCCCCCCCCACGCCTGTTAATGTCTTTCCTCTCTGTAGGTTTTCATATCCGTGTTTCTGGCTGCCGCTTTTCCTCTTCCTCTTGCATCTCTTAACCCTTTTTTAACACTTGATAATCTGGCTTACTTGTTCTCTAGCTTTTAAATTAAACCCATGTTGGTGCTTAGCGAAATGCTGCCATCTACTGGTGCGTGAGCGGTTTTGTCTTTGTCTCTGTAATAACAGGAGCTCAGTGTTTTGAATCTAGTGGGAGTTTGGTTTAACCAGACTGATGGAAATTGTCGGGTGTGGGAATGTTTCTGATAGATGTGACCCAAATGGAACCGGACCGTACCACGTTTCATTCAGTGCTAACCATTTTTTTGTTTTGGTTCCTTTTTCTTCTTCTTCTCGGTTATTAAAGCAGCATGTACCTGTAGATCATCACAACCTGCAGAGCTGCAACGACTTAAGGAAATGCTTTGGGTTTATTAAAGTTTCACGCCAGCACAGCCAGAGTGGTTAAAAAGATGAATCTGATAATAAATGAAAGAATGATAATAACTTCACACTATAATAATAGGTTTATCGGGGGACATTGTTACTTTCCAGGCTGGCTATTTTTGGTGTGAACTGGGTTTATTTGCTGTGTTTGTGGAGCTTTTTGTGTTTGAACTCTAAAGAGATGTGAAGCTGGGTGAAACTGTTTTTTTTTTTTTATCATTATTCTTTTTTGTTCTATCGTTTTATAAGATTCAAAGGAAATTTTTCTGTTAATGGAAAACAAACAAACTGGAATCACTACTTATTCATTGATTTGATCAAATTCAACAACCTTTAACAGTATAAAGCTTGAAGATTTTGGATGTATATACATTTTTAAAAAATATTTAATGTTTACTTAAGTTTTTTTTTTAAGTACATTAAATCATAGTTTAATACACTCATACAATTATATTATAGGATGCACTAAGATTCTTCCATTGTTTTGAAATTGGAAGGAATTCATTGATGAACCTTTAACAAAAGTGCTTCACAAATGATAATATTTGTCAATTGTCATTGCAAATGAAACCAACCAACTAACTTGAGATTTTAACAGTAATTTCATTTAATATAATGCATTGTATTCATAACTGAAATCTTAAACATGAGAGTATCAGCAACAGGGCTTAACGGGATTCACTGGGCGAAAAGTCTAATTATGAATTGTTTAAAATATATTTTTTAAAGAATCCTGGTCATTTTGAGGCTCCCTGATGTTTGATATTAGTTTCCTTCTGTATCAGAGATAATAAACTAGAGGTCATAATTAGGATTTTCCCTCCATTCCCTGAAAGATTTAAGATCTTGATCACCTAAACCTCTACTGGGGTGATCGTTGAATGCCGATTTACTGGCCACACACTGCTGCTATCAGGATGGAGATTTTTTTTGATTTTATTTATTTTTTATGAAAAAGACTCAACAAGGTTTCTGGAACATTCCTTTTTTGCTCCATATTAACAGGAAAGGATTGTATAGTTGGTTGAAGTTTTGTCTTCTGCACATCCAGAATGCATAAGATGTTTCGCCCCTAGAGAACTACATAGCAGTGAAACCTGTTGATTAATCACTTTGAACACCAACAAGCCATTTCCTGACCCCTGACTTGAGATGTTTGCATTTAGTCCCTTAAATCTTTGTTCTTCCACGTTTTGATGTGGAAGAACAAAATCTTGACGCCTAAACCCACTAAGTCTCTGCTTTGTGACTGGTAGCCAAATCGGTGTACCTAATAAAGTTGCTTAAACAGACTTGTGATTATTAAACTTCACACACTGATATTGATATTCCTGTATCATGCAGGTTAAAATGAAACAAACCACCTTGGATTTGATATTAATGTTAATGCCGTTTGTAAATTCCTAATGATAAAACAGTAACAGATGCATCACTAATCTCTAGCTGCAGCCCCAGTGTGTGTAATTCTGCGGTATCTCCCAGCTTCACCTGCTGTGTGGCGTTGTGACTGTGTTTGTGGGAACGCTGCTGGGTTGGGTGGATGTAGCGCTGAGCTTCCTGCTGTGAAGGGAGGATTTCAGGCTGGTGCTGCAGGTTAGACGGTCATCTCCAACAAGGCCTCCGCTTGAGCAGCCAGCTTCTCCACAAAGGTAAAGAGAGAAACCACATCGACTGAGAGCTTCAGTCAGCAGCTGGTCTTATTCTCATCTCAACCGTCATTGGAGTTTCTGGCCAGAACAGCTACTATTGAAAGGCTTTTAGTCTGGTTTCTCTTTTTATGCTCACATGAACATCAGTCATGGTGTGTTTTTGTTTCATTATAAAGACATCTTTAAAAAGAAGACAAACTGGGTTTGGTTTTCTTATGTTTTTAATTGGCTTTTTGCTCCTTTATTGCTTTCTGTTCAGTTCGCAGCTCATTATTGTCTTTATTTGGTTAGCAAATGTTAAATAGCTCTGGAGGAAGCAAAGGAGATTTTATAATAATAGAGTCTCCACTCTTTTTCCAAATTGAGAAATGTTTTCTCTTTCCTGGCACTGACACCCACCTGTTTCTCTCTCCCTGCTTCTCCTCATTGTTTGACCCTGAGCCTTTAAACCAAATGTCAAAACAAAGCCCGGGTTCCTGTTTCAGGCTCAATTTTATCCTCCGAGGTTCAGATTCAGGAAGTCCCCTTCTGTGGAGCCCCTTCAGCTTTGCTTAGTCATTTGGCAACTCAGAAAGTCCATCACCGCAGTGTTGGTCCTGGTTCATGCTGCTTCCTGTTTGGGATTTGACCTGCCCTCACCTCCTCTGCGTCTGTCCTCTCTCAGGCACATGGCCCAGGCGGACCTGAAGAACTCCACCTTCTGGCTGAGGGCCAGCCTCGGTGCCACCGTGTTCGCAGTGTTGGGCTTCGCCATGTACAAAGTGCTTCAAAAACACCGGTGATGGCGCGGCGCGGGACGGCAGCTACTTTCCACTTTGGTCCTTTTTGTTCCTTTCTACCTGAGAGACTAAAATAGTAACAAAAAAAGACTGCCTGAACAAACCAAACAGGCTCATCGCCTCGAGCCCACCTCTCCCCTTTTCTGTCCAAGCAGCACGAGCGAGAAACAAACTTTTATACAATTGTGGTTTATCTGTACGTAGTTGGCAAAGAGACACTATTTCTAAATGCATTGGTTCTGTGGTCTTTTGGCCTAACCTGTTAGTAAAAACTGATTTATCTCAGATAATCTGGTCCTGTTTTAACCCTCAGGCTCTCGTCTAGTTTGACATGTGAGGCAGCCAAAATGAAACACTGCAAAGGGACTTGAATTTGTTTGTATTAAAGTATATGCAGTATGTTATGTATTTATGTAAGACTGTAGGACCCGTAGAGGAGCACCACAAGCCAAACGCAGCATCAGCAGGAGCAAAGCAGCATTTAACACCAACATCATGCACCTGTTTCATTTGTGTGTTAATTTATTAACCCATTGTTTGGAGTGCACCACATGAAACAGATTGCTCATGTATTTTTGTATTTAGTATTATTGCTTTCTGACTGGTTTTATTTTTCTGGTTTTCAAATAAAGCGTTAATCTCCCTTTTCTTTCCATTTCTGCACTGCAAGCAAACAACTCTAGGAAACCTCACCTTCCTAAAACTAGAAACATGTTCAACACCCACTGCATCTTCGTCTGCTGCATTTACAATAAAGACTTCGATATCTGGTACTAGCTTTGTGTTTGTGTGTCAATAAGTGGAACCACAGCTGCATTTGGAGTAATTAAAGGCCCACTGTGAAAATCTTTTTAAATTGTTCAGGTGTTTAGCAGTTTGACGATTATCCAAGAGCTCCTAAAATAGTAGATAAAGTCAGAATAACAATGCTTTTGCTCAGATTCGACACTAAATTGTACTTTGATTGGCTGCTGCGGTCAGTATTCAACCCTCTGAACAAAATTCATCTGACTGATTCATTGTTATTGCATGTGTCTGCAATGGAACGCCACAAATATTTGGACTATTGGTGACATTTTGTTTTTGTTACAAATATATTGGAAAGTTGAGAAAATCATCCTGAAAACTCAGATATACAGTGATTGCTTTGGATAAGAAAGGAAAAGAAAAACAGCAAAGGCCTGCAATTAAAGTTAAAGGAATAATAACTACTCTCCCTGGTGGGAGGAAGAAGAAATAATATTGACTGCCACCACAATGAGGCAGGAGGTGAACAAGAATTTGCCTTTGCTGACTAAATCACCTGCAGCAAGACTTGGTGGCGGTACTTGGTGGTTTCTAAAGTGCAACATGAGGCGCATTTGAGACCTTATTTAAAAAAAAAAAAAAGAAGTGAGATTTTCAGTGGTTATCACATGATCAAAGTTTTTTTTTTCAGCTGTGTTTCTTTGCTTCTATTTAAATTAATTAAATTTAGGGGCTCAACCATTGAGGCCCTTCAGTCAAAACCACACTGATGGGCCCTCATTTATTAAACCTTTTTAAGTAAAGCAAACAAATCTCAGGAATCAGTGAAAATAGTTTTCAATGGCAAGTCCATTTCATGGCTCACCGAAACATTTTATGCATGAGATTTGAGTAAACAAAAGGTTTTTATTTCAGGTAAGTGATGATACATAGATCTCTCTTGTTTTTAGAAAACTATTTAAAATATTTTATATTTGTTTTTTTTAAGGTAAGAAAATAATCTTTACATTTCTTATTTTTTTACTCTTATAAAAAAAACTTGTGATTTTGTTTTTTGTTTTTTTGGTCTGCTGGTATTTTACACTTGTCTTTCATAGCAACAATTTGGAAACCAGTCTTCTAAAGTCACATTTTAAACTGTAGTGCACTTAACATGGCAAGACTCCATGTCTGTGCCACTTCAGACCCAAAAGCACAAGAAAAACTGACTCCAGAGATTGTTCTGTAAACTAAAAATGGAACTTTAGAGAAAGAATCAAAAATTTGACTTGCTTTGCTTTTTCTGGCATTGAAAACCTTCTCAAGATCTATCCAACGAGGAATCATGAAGGAAATGACACTATCTGTGGAGGCGGAAGCTGAAGTGTCATTTGACTTTCCAGAGGATAAGCATATGTCAAAGTCCATCAAGGCTTGGTTTCAGAAAAAGTCTTGGAAGTCACAAGAGAGGCCACCAAAGTCGTCCGACTTGAGCTTCGTTGAAAATCTCATAGGATTGGAGGAAAGTCAAGAACATTGACGACTTGAAGACCTTTCCCCTCCAGACTGCAGGGTTAAAACATCTCAGGAACGCTATGAATCATGATTGCAGCAGGTTATGTACAGCAAAATGTTGCTCTCCTAATTACTAAAGCAGCAGCAGGAGTTTAATAACACTGAGACTCCAGTAGTCATTACAAGTTGTCTTTAGTGAATTGATTTGTAACACTGGAGCTTCATACATAGTTCTTGTTTGCACATGTTGCCAATAAATCTTCATTTGCAGCCAAAGTTAGGCAGCTGTGATGCACAACTGTCGAGCTTTTTTTTTTATTGTCAAGGACTCACATGTGAAATAAATATGTAATCTAACCCAGCAGGACGTTGGTTGGTGAGAATAGAGAAGTGAGGGAGTGATGAGTCTGAACGAAAACACTCTCGGCTTGAGGAAGGAGGAAGTCACAGCACACAACCAGGTGAATGTAATGAGAAGAAGTGTTGGCCACAGAGTGAAGCTGCCATCTGTCAGGTGGTAAAATGTCTGTCGACGGCACGAAGCTGCTGTTTGAGGGGTTTCTGCAAAAAAGAAAAGACACTTTGGTGAGTTTGGTGCTTCTGGGGATTTTTGCTGACGATTCTGAGCTGTGGTTTTAACTGGTTGCTCTGTTCATGTTGGATATAGAAAATAAGATGGGTGACCTACTGGTTCAGGCTTCAAAACACTACTTTGTTTTTCTATACCAAGAAAAATGGCGGTGCTGTAAGTACCACGCTCTTCAGTTAGGTTGTGAATATACCAAACAGATGATTCAGTCTAAATGAAATAACCTATGAATTATTTTTCCTATTCACAGTCACACTTAAGAGGCTATTACTACATTTACACAGTAAGTCATTAACTTTTTTTTACTTGAACTTGTGCTGATTTGTACTTATGGAGAGTAAAGTCATATTTATGATCCAGTTTAATTGTCTGAAGCTGAAGCCAAGAATATTCATCAAAGTGTCTTTCTATCTTATCTTAGTAGATATACCAGTTATATGAATCTGTGACATTATTTTCAAAGGAGTAAATCTACATAGTGGCTGCTTTCACTTCTCTAAGAAAACTTGTTCATGTCTGGTTTAAGTGATGAAGATTTAGAGAGAGAAAAAGAAAATCTACAAGGAGCGTTTTAAAACAATATTTTTTAAATATCAATTCAGCAAGTATCCAAACTCATTTGTAAGCAGTTGTTTGACTTTTATTTTTTTATTACTTTACTAGCCTGATGGAGCATTGTCTGCATTTAAAGTACCTTCAAAAATCCTTTCCACATTTTATCGCTTTAATGGGTTTCCGCGAGCAAGATTGACACAAATTAAGTTATTATTGGGTTTTGGAACATGGATGCATGGTTTTCAAATGATTTTAGGAAAAACAAATCTTAAAAATTTACTCCAGTTTACTCACAGAGTTAGTAAATCGAGTCCATGTATGTGCAGTTGTTCAATCCAACATCTGAAAAGTGGCCATTCAGGTGTACCTGCAGCAAATTAAAGGTAAAATGAAGCATGCATTTAAAAAACAAGGCAATACAAATGAACAAGACAAGAAAAATGATACTGTGCAATTACTAAAAATAGCACACTCTGTTTAAAAGAATGTGAAACTGAGTAGGGTTATTTGAAAAAAATGTACAAAATGAGCATGTGTAACAAACTCTTCACAAGAAATTAAGTTGTGGAAGTGACAGCAGGAATGTAAACACTGAGTTTATTTCAAAGCATTGGTGGTTAATAAGTCTTGCAGCTGCAGGGCGACAGGACCTGCGGTGATGCTTCTTTGTGTACCTATGATGCAGCAGTCTGTCACTGAGGAAGCAGGTTCATGCTTGGGGTGGGAGGTTAGCGTATAACGGCTTCATCTCACTGTCTGAACTCTGAGACATCCTCAGCTGTGAAGAGGCTGACTATGGCAGGCTGGAAAGAGGAATATACAAGCTCCATATTTAGTTATTTCTATGCATTCAAATTCAAAGGTAGTTTGTTCTCCTGGGCGCTGAGCGGATGCCAATGTGTGGATGCTGTGTGACAAAATATAACAAGTTGAAGGACTGTGATGCTTTTGAAAGGCCACAATAAATGTTTTGCCATTTGTAATCGCGATTCTTCAATGTTGGGATCAGTGTTGCAGCGAATGCAGTTTTTCTGAAAACTGATGAGTTTTTCTGAGTTCTGGGTAGGAAGCTGCTGCTGATCGTTCTACTTTTAGCTGTCTAATCTGCTAGAAAGTTACTAAGCTTATTAAAAGTTGGGGAAAAAAAGCAACTAAAATAAAAATACTTGACCACCTATGCAAACTAAAATAACTTGAAACCCAGTGTAAATGTTTACTGAAATGGGCAACTGTGGTTGTGTGGCAGAGTTGTCTTGCAATCAGAAGGTTGTAGGTTGTAATGGACGTTTTCTCGCTATCAGAACGATAGAAGGAAGATCTCTCTATTTCTATATATAAAATATTCCACTATTTATTTTCTTTTGCAAGCCTGGTGTCTTTTGTGATTTCCTTTGTTTTGTTTCATTACACCTCAGAACAGGCCCTGGTTTCAGTGTTGTAACAGACAGTTATATGTTTTCAGAGCCTTTAGCCCACTTTCATATTTACTGAAGTAAAATGCGAAAGCATAACCTTTATTTCTACAAAATGCATCTCGCTGTGGTGTAGCTGTTGTCTGTGCACTTCCTCTCCTGTCTGCACTGTTTTTCCCCCCCATCAATCTGGATTTCCTGGCATTTATTTACGTCAATAATAACTAAACTTTCGACGTCTTGTCTCAGGTCCAGTCGGTGCGAGAGGTCCAGAGAACCGACAAGAAGCACTTTCTATTTGAAATCGTCATGACCAATGGCAAGAAAAAGATGTTGGTGAGTCGCTGCTGTGGTTTGCTGTGTTTTATTTTGAAAGCTGACGATGACAAATCTGAAACCAGGCTTTTGGTTGATGTGGATTTATTTGCATGTTTGTGAAGGCAGCAGAGACAGCCGCCCTCAGAAAAGAGTGGGTTGGACACCTTTGGCAGGCAATGCACCTCTCCACTTCTGGACTCTTGGACTCTAGAGACCCAGAGTAAGTCCAGTGCCGTAGATTATTTACAGCAGAAATATATTCACATCCCATAAATGTCCCTCTATCATTAAGCAGACTTTCGTACAAGTTGAGGAGAGAAGCCTAAGCAGGCCGACACAAAGCAATGCATGATTATAAAGTGGAAGGAAAATGATTCACGTTTTTCGATATTTTTACAAGTAAAATTGTGGCCTCTTTAGAAGAAAGACATTTCTAAAGAAATGCTTGGTAAGTCTGGCATGCAGATTTCTAGCCATGAAGGGGTCACAGTGCAAAGGTGAAAGAAGCAGTTTCAGTCTTAAGAGACCCAAATTAAACTTTCTGACCTACATGCAAAATACTACGTGTGGTGGAAAGCTAAAACTGTGCATTAGTAAATATTCAGGTGTCTGGACTTTCTATTGTAACGTAACAAAGTCGAAAACTTTCCGAGGTGTGTGATAACTTCTCCAAAGCAGCAGGCTTTTCATAGATTGGGCTCCTAGTAATCCCACAGATGTGATGATGTTTTGTCTTCACTGATAGCAACTCTGAGCTTTTTTTCTCGTCTGTGCTCCTCAGCCTGGAGCTGTTCGATCAGCGAGGGAGTTTAAGCAGCAACATGTCCGTCTCCCTGTGCAGCGACAGCGTGAGGGAGGTGCAGCCGACTCGCCCTCTCTCCGTCTCCTCAGAGCACATCTACTCAGAGACCGAGGGCCTCACTTCGTCCATCCGCCCGCCTGAGGACGAGGACAGCGATGACGCAACGTACCAGAACCTGCGAAGACCCCTCACCTCCGACGAGCCCACCGAAGACCCCGAGCGGTCTTCAATGGGCTCTTCAAGCCCACCAATGAGTTGTGAAGAGCAACAACAGGACGGCCTCTATGACGTCTTACCTGCCAGAAAAAGTATAAACGTGTTTTAAATAAGTCAGATGTTCTGGTGACAGATAATGGAGACGTGTGAAACTGTCATTTAGGGTTTTTTTTGTTTTTACCTTTAGGTACATGTGAAGCCCTTCCAACACAAACACATGATGCTGTGTACGATTTCCCTTTGTCTTACAAGACATCTAGTGGGAACCAAGGTGATTTTATACAACTGCTTCATTCACTTGCAAAAATGATCACACTTGTTTTAGTCTAAATTATTTTTCCATTTCTTTGGACCCCAAAGACGGAGTGTATGACGTCCCTGTTTCTGACCACAAAGGTGGAATCTACGACGTCCCCACGTCTCTACGCAAAGACGAGGTCTACGACGTCCCGGCCCATCTGTTGAGGAAAAAGGGCGATCACACTGAAGGTAGCGTTCTTCGCTTGTCTCTTGTCAATGTCATCTAAGTGCATGGAGAAACCACAGGTGCAGCGGCTGCAGACACATTCTCACTTCTGCTGTTTGCAGACGAGCAGCCAGAAGGGGAAACCTACTGGAGGATATGAAGAGAGGCAAGCAACTAATCAGGAGCTCTTTTCTTTTTTACTCCACGCTAAAACTAAAGCTGTGCAGTATGTTGTATTATAATCGCAGTATGAATGTTTGCAGTATTGTAATCACAAAAACAAACAAACAAGCAAAAAAAAAAAACAGATTGGATGCGTTATTCAGCAGGTTGCTGTATTTTATGTGCCCTGCTTGACAACAATGTATTTCAGCACTTGGATTGACTTTTAAAGCATAATGTTGTGGAAAATAAGATTGAGGATAATGTGAGTTAATCACAGTCCATATCATCATCGCTTCACATTTATTAATAATGACATCATAACTTTTTTTCCCTCTAACATTGTGCATCCAGAGCCAAACGTTATTTATTTTTCTTACTTAAAACTACAGCTACGGTTAAAAGTTTGGACAGGAACAGTTTATTTTTGTTGCATCCTGAAGATGATTTAAAAACATTTCTCATGTTTTCAATGACTGGGATAAGGATATTGGCTCGTTAAGCCTTCACCCCGTGCATGGTTTACGCCAACAGAGGTGGGACTCATACACATTAAACTGCAGCAGTTGGATATCGTCATATTTATGTATTAAAATCCTATCACTCTTTAAATAAATTATTTTTTATGAGTCTCAAATCTTATATTATTAAATTATATATTTGAACTGAAGGAGGAACCTAATTTTACACGTAAATTAAAAGGAATATATCTGGAGATATATTACAATATTAACATTTAAATTAAGAAATGAATGATAATGTTGAATACAGTCACTATTAGGAATTACCCTAACATTGATAAATTAGATTGCTTTTGTTTACAACAAATGAAAACATACAAACAGGGGAACTTTTGAGAGGAACTGAGAATAAAACAACCAGATGATCAATGTCTGATAAGATTTTACTTCATCATTGTCAAATCATAAAATCTGTCTCAAATATTTGGTCTCTATTTATATTTTGTAAATATATGCACGAACTTTCGGGAATGTTTGAGAAATGAATGAGGGATTCAACAGAGAAAGAGTTTAAGGTTCACAATGGTTTGGCCAGAACTAAGAAGGGTTCTCAAATATAAAGTTGATTTTTTTTCATAGTTAAAAAAAAAAATAGAACATCAACATAGAATTTTAATGATTTATACCCTGAAGGTGTTTTCTACTTTTACCATAAACTTTGCTGCAAACCCTCATCATTCCAACCCTCCTTTTTACCCTAATTCTAACTTCACACCGCATGGGGTGTTACTGTTGCTCAACTTGCTAGCGATAGCCTTCATACTAGATTTAGTATGTAAGTTTGCTTTAGATGTGCAGCTTATCTTTCCTTAAAACTGTTGTTACCTTGCAGTTGCATTGGCTGAATGTTTTCACTCCTTTTCAATAATTTTTCTATGTCCATTTTACAGGCTTTTGCTTTATGCAAGTCTTCAAAAACATTCAGCTTGCAGCTTTCGCACTGCATTTTTGCAGGAAACACAATTTTTTATTGGCTCGGACAATCTTTATTTGGATTGGAAAAAAGGGGAAGACATGCAGGAAAGGTCAGAACCTGGCAGCGTCGAGGATTCAGGTCTTGATATGTGGGTTGTGCTCTATCAGTACGCTGCCACAGCTCCACAAATAATGCTTCTTTTTTCCCTAGTTATCAATTCTTTGGGTCAACGTTAAGAAGAAATGTTTACTTGTTGACCAAAATACTCCCCCTGCCCACAACTCTCATGCTGAAGAGATAAAACTCATTTCACCTGTTAGTGGTAATATTATTATACCTAATCCTTCTACGACTGTACTGACATTATTAGAAAGCAATGGTAATGTTCTGTCACAAAACAGTTATTTAAGGCCCTTTTTAATGAATTAATATGCTTCTGATTTGTGCTATGCATGATAAAAACAGTGGGACGTCTTAAACGATCAAAACAATCATCTCTGTTTAAATGTTCCTATGCTCTAAAACTAACACCACTGCGCACACAGTGCAACTTAACTGTGTTTATTTCAATCATCTTCGAGAGAACCACAAAAAATATTTAGAACCGGGGGTTGCATGTACAGAAATAGCCACACAGATACACCATAAGTCAGTCACACTATTCTCAACAGCAAACACAACCTATTCACACACCAACGGTTAAAATTAAAATTAAACACCAACAATAACAATATTGCTCTCCTACATACTTTGGACAATATTTAATAAGAACCTTCTGAGCTTATTGTTACAACTATTTATCAACTATTAGCTTTTTTTTTAATGCATGATTTATATCTAAGTATCTACATGAACTCCCATAAACTCCTGGAAATAATCACATTTTACAGTATTTGGAACTATTACACCAGAATTACAACAAATCATTCCCACAGTTGAAAAAAAAAAAGAGAGTTAATATCAGCACAAATACAAACAGTGTCAGAGGAGTGAAGGTAGTGCAGGTACCGGGTGGATAATATAACAAAACGTTTGAAAGTTTTTTGTGCATCATTCTCAAAAGAAAGCAGTTAAATAATTTAGAGAGCTATTTTGATATAAAATATTGCTGAACATAATTTTACCCCAGTTGTTATAACTTCTTATGTATATTGGTTCTTTTTAGTGCCCTCTGTGAGAACTATTGGTAATATTTATGTCTCCGTTTCTTTATACACACCCTCGACATTTACATCTAAGATTATATCCTATTTTCTTTCGTCTTATAAAATTCATCTTTTACATCCTTTCCATAATTGTCCAAACTCCTGTAGTAAAAGTAGCACCATCATCATCGTAGTCCATAAATTAAGTTTACTGTATTTGCTGCCTCATTTCTCACATTTTTAACAGTATTTTTTTTTATTTACTAATTTTAATAAATTAGTAAATGTGGAGCTTTTGGATGTAGTGGACGCTGCGGGTCAGGCCTGAGCCTGTTCACTCAGGAATTCGTCCAGGACGGCGATGATGTTGCAGGCTTCGGGCAGGTCGCTGTGCTCCGCCCGGGCGTTCTGCAGCAGCACGTCTCCGTTCCCGCAGCCCTGCAGGAACTGGCAGCAGCGGAACAGGGCGTAGTGACTCATCTCGGCCTGACGCACGAAGCGCTTCAGGCTGTTCATGTCCTGGATGGCCTGCGGAGCGGCGGAGGTGGTTGAAACAGAGGAAGTAATGAGCGGGAGGGAAAAAAAAAAACAAAAATAAAAACAAAGCAGGAAACTATCAATGCTGATGGGAAGTAATAACAGAAGAGGAGGAACTGAAAGTCCAGATCTACTGTTTCACAAAGCGGCTTGCTTTTTTTAAAAAACATAAATAATCTGAACTGATACTGCATTTCCAGCAGACTGAGTGAAGTTAACCATACAGTGCTTTCCAAACGTATTCATACGACTTGAACTTATTCACATTTTGTATGAGTGTTTTGTATTTTATGCTGACTTTATAACTTATACAGTCATATTCAATAAATTAGAATATGATTCCAGATTAAAAGCACCTTTTGGAAATAACCTTTAAGCAGGTTTTAAACTTTTTTTTTTAAGACGTCCACATTACTCTTTTTAAGAATATCTTTGTCATGTTTCCATCAGCTATTAGCAGAAAATATGAATTTAGGTCTGGACTTTGATCTAAGCCATTTCATTGTTGCTCTGGCTGCATGTTTAGAGTCGCTGTCCTGATGCGAGGCGAAGGTGTTGAGCTTACATCAAACAATGTTTGAATTAGAAACCCATAATGTCTGATGCTGGTCTCATGTTTGCTGCACATGAACCTTTTTCTTTTCACGTTGCGATCATGGACCAGTTTTTATTGGCCTGTCACGTAAAATCCCAAGAAAAAACTTTGGGGTTTACAACAAAAATTGAAAAAGTTCCAGGGGTGTGCATGCTTTCACAATGAACTGCACAAAGATGATGAAATCTAACAGCTTATCTTCAGCAGGATGCTGCTTATTTAGAAAACGCTCTGCATAAATATTTCTCACCTTCAGCTTGAAGTTCTCCAGAATCTGTCTGAGCAGGAAGGGGTTGCAGCGCTCTGCAGCGTTTAGAAACGCCTGAATCCAGCCATCGCAGAAACGGTTACTGACTGAGGACAGAAAACATCTGATTAGACTCACAGAGGGATTTAGTGTTTTAATTCCCAGAAGGGCATGTGATCCTGTCCACACTGCATGTTCGGAAGAGAAATGCTAAAGCCTTTAATGTGTGATAAATCAGCAAAAACCTGCATAGGGTGGATTTTGTTTTGGTGATAAATTTATTCTGAAAAAGAGATTTTGGACATATGCATGTCTACTAAAAATACATTGCCAAAAACTTGTGGGCTATATGAAGTTTGAACTGTGTACACTTATACAGATGACAACTGTACCTCATGCAAACCAAATCTCTGAGCAAACATAGACACACAGTGATTATAAAAGGCGTCTGCGTATGTTCCTGACATGTGTCTCACCGGTGTTAGTGAGCGTGGGCGGGCTGGAGGAGCAGTCGATAACCACATCAGACTGTGTGTCCTCCGACATGGCTTTGCACAGAGAGGCTGTGGTGGTGTCCTGCTGAGACAGGCCCTGCAAACTGGCTGCTTTAATGAACCTGACACACAGAGAGACTTGTTACACGCTGCAGAGGCATTTACACAAGTGGTAGTTTCACTGCGTGGGCTGAAAAAAAGTCGCACACCTGGACACGTCGGCCTTTGTCCTCTCGTCCGAATTGGTGACTTCCACGTGTGTGTGACTGAGAGCCTGCAGGAAGAGAAGTTTAGCAGCTGGCATGTGTTCTGGAAATCAAACTCGGGCATAACACCATGACCAATTAAGAAGAAAGTTGGTCATGGTGGAGTGTGAATGCATAAAGCAAAGTTTTCTATGATAATGCAGTTATAGGGGCAGCGAAGGAAAGAGAGATTCTAGGATCTCTTTAGAAAAGAGTTATAATTTCTCTCCCTTTCTATCACAGCATTGTTACTATGACAGGGTGTTTATCAACACTTTCATTTTTTTTTTTCCTAAAAACTGAGTCATCAGCATAGCTTCCCTTAAATGTTCTAAAATAGAAGAAGCTGGAAGTCTCGCCTCTTTATACAGAATCAGTGTTACCGCTTTACAGCAGTCAAAACGTAATTCAAAGCTGACACAACTCCCACTCTATGAATCTATCAGGTATTTTCAAAGAGAACATGCCATTCAGTGGTAAAAGGTCGATTCCAACTAAGGGACTTAATGGGAAGTCAAAATGCGTGATCTGGTTACTGAACTGCTAGGAAGATGTCAGCAGATGTTTTGTAGAAATAAAAAATCAAAATCATAATAAAATGTCACCAGCCACCAGCATTTTCTACTTTATATAATCTTTCCTATGTAGAGGAGTAAGCTACTAATTCTGAACTGTTAAAAAAAAGTAGATATATAATTACAGGAAATTTTGGGACATTTTTCATCTAATTCCAGAATACTGTAATTCCAAATCTCAGCATTAGAGCCTCCATGCTGTTTAATTTGACCACCTAATTTTATGTACTCTGATGGTTAGAAGAGACGACTCACAGCATGCAGCAGGAAGCTGATGTTGCTCTGGACCAGCTGCACTACTCGATAAATGTGCATGACCGACTCCTCGTACCAGCGGCTCAGATAGGGACGAACTTCAGTCTCAAGGTTCTGCAGCTACAACAAACACACAGTAAGAGGTTCAATAAAAGGCAACCTTGAAATACGACTAGAAAACTTTACTTTATCGCATCTTCCCACCTCTGGAGTTTGAAGGCTGCTGTGTAGGCCTTGGACATATTTATCGAGCTCTAATCTAAATGTAGTTTAAGTCAAAGAATTTAACAGAATTCAGAAGGATTTGGATTATATGAAGACAGTAAAATTCTGAAGCTTTGTTGTAACTTTGCTTATTCCATAAAAAAAACCCAAAACAACAAGGATATAAGTTCAGTCCCTTTTCAGAGCCCCCCATGAAGCAGATGACGAATCCATTTCCATCAGCGTCCGGCTGCTCTGGAGACCTTTCCTGCTCCAGGAGGCAGCAGTAGCAGCCGACTGCCTGTTCTGGAAGACTGCAGAGAAAAAGATATTTATTAAAAGAAAATGTTAATTTTTTTTTTCATTTGGTGATATGTTTGGTGCATCTCGACAAACTTCAAACAAAACTTCTGTTTTCCTTTCTTCTTGTCACTTTTACATAAAGATGTCAGATCTGTGGACTGCATTGTTTTATTTACACACAATTGGACTCCATGAACTAATTGTGTGACCTGGGGAGGCAATTGGTTGTACTGAATTTTATTTTATTTAGGGGTATCAGCGCTTTTAAGCTTGAATCTGCTGCAACAAAAAAGTAACAGCACTTATCCATAGCAATGCTAGTATTAAAATTAAAACTTGAAATAAACTACTATCCATTAATGGCAAAGAAATCTTTGAAGTTGGGAAGATTTCTATGATATTATGTGTTATTAGGTTTAATTTATGCAAATTATCTACACGCTGCAAAAAAAAAAAAAAAGTAAGGAACAACTTCTCTCTTCTGTGAAACAACTTCTTCAGTGTTGCAGCTTTTTGTCTTTGGTGAGCTCAGATTTCTCTGAATCACAAGCATTTTAATTGAATGGTTTGGTTAATTAATACCTCAGTTCCACAGTGGCAATGTTGCCCATGCCTCCAAGAAGAGCTCCTTTACTCAGTCGCCTCGAAATATAGGTCCGCAGCTCCGGTTCTGCTTCTGAAGGAAGGCTGCTGTCAATTAGTGTCAAGCTGTGGGCAAAAAAATAAAAAAAAAATAAAAAAAAGAATGAAATAAAAATGAGAAAAGAGGTGGTTAAAATTCAAGCCATCAGGAAAGACGATGAAGGATTTGGAAGCCACTCAAATCGATGAAGAAAAGATGGAGAAAGCGAGGTGATCACAAATAATCCCAGATCATCAGGGCTGTCATCCCTGAACACACTCTGGAGTGAGGACACTGTTCAGATGAGGAAGCAGTGTAACTCAGCAACACACTGATGAGAAATCAGAACAAAATCATGAGTGAAGTCAGCCACGATGAGTCCATGCTGGCTGGATTTCCACTGAAAGCCCAAAGTAAAGAAAAACAACAAAAACAAGCAGTGACAGCCACTGAGAAAGCGAGACGGTGGACGGATGGCTCCTGTGTTACCTAAAGTCATCGTGACTTGTGGAGTCTGCACGCTTCTGGTTCCACGCCACATTTTCTGCACAGGCCTCAGATCTAAGATGACCAACAGTTTACATTTCATATGCATGAGCGAGCCTTTACGTGCACATAGAGGACTGCTGCTGCACAACAATAAATAAATCCTGTTTTATTTAAGTGGAAAGCAAAATAAAAACATATTTATCTACCACGTTAAACGGCGACAGATCGGTTTAAAGCAGCTGCTGCAATAACATATATTAATCATTACCTTGTGCCCTGATAAAGATAGATGGTGTAGTAGCAGTTCAGCTGAATTTTTTGGCTGTATCCAACAATATCTTCGCTGTCAAATTCATCTCTCTCCTCCACGTCGATTGAATCCTGGAAAGACGAAGTCTGGGAAGAAAACATCCTGCTGCTGATCGGAGGAGGCTAGCATCGGAGGAAACAGGCTAACAGGAGGACGTGTTTTAATGCTCGCTGTTGCTTTATTTTTGACTGGGATCCAATATGTCTGAATTTGAGGCTAATTGTAAAAAGAAAGAAAGGGAAAAACCTGAAGGCTCAGCCAGTTTTCCTGCCTGGATCCAACCTGTACTTTCAAAAATATGTCCGACGAAAATCAACGTCTACAACAAAGGTTCCGGGATCTTGTGGGTTCTCTTCACTCACTGAATAATGAGTGTCCATATTTGACTTGTCAGTGTGTTTGTGGTTAAAAAACCTTTCGACTGAAGTGCTTCTCAACATACGAAGAGATGATAAGAATTTTTTCAACTGTATAGTTGGGTGGGTGGTACAGTGTTGGTCATAATGTGCTGGACTGTCGAGAGACAGCAGGGGCAAGTTTAAAATCCTGCAAATAAATGCAGCCACATCCTCAGGGTCAGTGCATGTAATATGACTAACTGCATCCAACTTTGGCAGTCATGAAACAATTTTTCCCAACATCAATTATTTGCTAACAAAAAGAAGCAAATATTGAGTGTGTATTGATTTGATTAAAATTGAGAAACAAAGTGAGTACCATAAGTTAACCAGAAGATGGAGACAAATTTTAAAAAATCCAAATGAATTTGAAAACCGGTTTTGCCTAATTTCTAATGTCTAATTTAGTTTTTGATTATTGTGGTGAGTTTGTTGTTTCATTAACCATAAAACATTATTCTTAGTTTTACCTTTTTAAAAGGTTTTCATATTGATATGACCTCCTGACATTTTAACGAACATACTTATTTTATATTGTAAAATTGTAAAATAACTTGCTCTAGTTCCTAGAACAAGTCTCAGTGAGTGACATTTATCTGTTCATTAATTCTGGTCATTTTTAATCATTTGTAACAACTCACCTGTAACATCCTTAACTCAGTCTAACTATTTCACTCCACTTAGGCTTTTTGGAGAGAGCTGCTAGCAACTGGTTCTGTTTAGTAAAAGCAACAGTCTCTTATTTCTTAATGAGCTCTGATGTTGTCTGGAGGTACTTTTAAATAGATCAAAGAAAGAATCTTTATGATCAGTTCAAACATTTGTAGAAAAAAAAGTGTGCTCTTATTGTACTTAAAAATAAACCCATCTCAGAAATGTTTTCCTTGGTGTATAGGCTACATTAAAACTAATACTATCTAGATACTCCTAGTTGAGTATAATTGTTGAATATACAGACTGCTAGATAATATTAAATATACAGACTGCTAGATAATATTAAATATACAGACTGCTAGATAATATTAAATATACAGACTGCTAGATAATATTAAATATACAGACTGCTAGATAATGTTAAATATACAGACTGCTGGATAATATTAAATATACAGACTGCTAGATCATGTTAAATATACAGACTGCTAGATAATGTTAAATATACAGACTGCTAGATAATATTAAATATACAGACTGCTAGATAATATTAAATATACAGACTGCTAGATAATATTAAATATACAGACTGCTAGATAATATTAAATATACAGACTGCTAGATAATATTAAATATACAAACTGCTAGATAATGTTAAATATACAGACTGCTAGATAATGTTAAATATACAGACTACTAGATAATGTTAAATATACAGACTGCTAGATAATATTAAATATACAGACTAGATAATGTTAAATATACAGACTGCTAGATAATATTAAATATACAAACTGCTAGATAATATTAAATATACAGTCTGCTAGATAATGTTAAATATACAGACTGCTAGATAATGTTAAATATACAGACTACTAGATAATGTTAAATATACAGACTGCTAGATAATATTAAATATACAGACTGCTAGATAATGTTAAATATACAGACTGCTAGATAATATTAAATATACAAACTGCTAGATAATATTAAATATACAGTCTGCTAGATAATGTTAAATATACAGACTGCTAGATAATGTTAAATATACAGACTGCTAGATAATGTTAAATATACAGACTGCTAGATAATATTAAATATACAGACCGCTAGATAATATTAAATATACAGACTGCTAGATAATGTTAAATATACAGACTGCTAGATAATATTAAATATACAGACTGCTAGATAATGTTAAATATACAGACTGCTAGATAATGTTAAATATACAGACTACTAGATAATGTTAAATATACAGACTGCTAGATAATATTAAATATACAGACTGCTAGATAATATTAAATATACAGACTGCTAGATAATATTAAATATACAGACCGCTAGATAATATTAAATATACAGACTGCTAGATAATATTAAATATACAGACTGCTAGATAATATTAAATATACAGACTGCTAGATAATGTTAAATATACAGACTGCTAGATAATGTTAAATATACAGACTACTAGATAATGTTAAATATACAGACTGCTAGATAATATTAAATATACAGACTGCTAGATAATATTAAATATACAGACTGCTAGATAATATTAAATATACAGACTGCTAGATAATGTTAAATATACAGACTGCTAGGAAAGAACCACATATTTATCTTCCAGTGTCTCTGTTTTTGTACAATACTGTTTCATCTTTAGTTAAAGAGGATAAGAACTCACTGGGATAAAATTATTATTTTCAAGATTAAACACAAAAAATATAAAAGAGGTCCTTTTAATCGCATGTCATTTGGATACAATAAATGGTCCTCACTAGTTTGCACTCTTTTACAAAACAATAATTGCATTTCCATTATGTGCACAATGTATGCAGATATTTGTCTATAATGTTGAAAAAACACAATTTTTCAATTATATTGTTGACATTGAGCAATAAATGAAATACAGGTGACTAAGCTTGCTCATGTAAAGTCGTTAAAAATCATGGAACCAATGGATGTAAACAGTTACACACACGTTTTGATCTCTCTTACTTACTCTTGATTGCTAGGGGTATTAAAATAAAAAAAATATACATCAATATCTGTCCATCAAAGCACAGAAACATTTATAAGTAACAATAAAACAAGTAATTCGCAGGGTTTGTGGGGTTGTGCAGGTTAATCAGTCAATCAATCAAGTCTATTTGTATAGTACATTTCAGCAACACAACAATTCATTGAGCTTTGCATCGTGAAAACAAAAAAAGCTTAATAAACAATGAATATAGCTTTATATAATTGTGAAAAGCAATAGAAAACATTAAATTTTATCAAGTGCCATCATCAGAAACATTAGTACATAATCATATGTATTGGTCAATGTTCCATTAATTATGGCTCAAAACAAACTCTAAACAGGTGGGTTTTTGGTCTTGATTTAAATGAATTCAATCTTTCAGCTGTTTTGCAGTTTTCTGGAAGTTTGTTTGAAGTGCATAGAAGCTTCTATGAAGACGTTTCAACCAGCAGCTACCACGCCATAATTTCACAAATTATGAGAAACTATGTATAACTCAAAAAGTAAAGTAAAATTTTTAAAGTTAGAACAATGAGTTATGCAAAATGTGATTCAGAAACAGTGAACACTAATGATAAGAGTATTTAAACAATATAACTTTAAAGATACTTCAAAACCATTAAAGTGAATGAAAAACAAGCATATTTAATTCTAAATCAGGATGTGTACAAGACCATAGTTGTATGATTAGTTCTAATTCTATTATTTTCTCTAGTTTGCACAATGTTTTACTATTTGGTACAATCTCACTTTGCTCATGGAAAGAAAACAGCTGTTAACTTTTATTGCTCAGAAAGTGTCTCCACACATAATCCTCTTTGTGAAGGAATCTTGTTAGTTATTATATGAAAACAAACACGATTCAGAAAATATCAGCATCTCTGGTTTCATTGAATTGTGAACATATTAAAAAGGTGAATTTAAAAAAAAAAGTCTTATAAGATATGACTTCTCAGTTTAACTTGTCCATCTTTGTTGCTCACGTTCAGTTTAGTGAGAATAAATGAGAATAAATCAGTTTAAATGAGAATAAATCATTTTAATGTTGCTGCACCTTTTTGGTGCAGGTCATCTGTTTTCCAGATTAACATATTTTCAGAGTTGATATTATTTCCTCACCTGAATGTCAAAAGCAACTACACCATCAAATGAAAAGCCTAAGTAGAAAGTAACTTTTTCATTTCCATAGGGCAAGGAAGCAGAGTATCGAGGAATGACTCTTATTTTGCTGTCTTTATGCCCACATTGGACATACAAGTTTTCATTTTCTGTCCACCCTTCAATCCGTCTCAGTTGCTGCACAACTTCCCTGGTTTTCCAAACTTCCCCTCCAAGCCATTTTAGTTTCCTCTCACTCAGAGTTCCTTTGATCTGTTTTTCAATAGCACTTCTGTGGACAATCTTATTTAGACCTCTTGGCTTTGCCAGGAAGAAGTGTGTGACAATTCTGCTCTTTCTTTGAGACATATGTTGGACTTTTTGTTCACATAGCCTTTGAAGAGCATCAATGGCCAACAGAAGTATCTGAGCATCAGCAGAACTCACGTCTTTACTGTCTTCTGGCCAAAACAGGAGCGAGAGAAGAAAGAGGGCACTTGCTGATGACATGTATTTTCCTTTTGTCCTAAATCCTTTGCTGAGATCTTGGAGCTGTTTGAGGGATAAGAGCTTTGAAGATCCAGGTAGGATACAGTTTAGAGCTATCTGACAAAAAATGACATTTATGAGTTCAGTTTCATCAAGATCCTTCCAGGTCAGGCTTTCTGAGTACATGCCCAGAATCTCCTCAAGCTTTTTTCCTGCCCTCTGTGGTTTCCTATCATACAGTAATGAGAGGATTGATGAAACATTTCCTCCTCCAAGCTTATAAGATTTCATCTGTCTTTGGAAAGGTGAGAGTGTGTTTCCAGGATTTTTTGTATCAGTGCTCAAGTTTTCAGATGCCTTATTGCTCTCCTCTTGTATACCACAGAAAAATCCAGCATATACAGCACTTTTTCTTGTCAACCATTCTCTTGGATTGTAAACCTGCTCTGGATCTCTTGCATCAAGTTCCTCATCCTCTTCGCTAATGTCAGGCTGAAAGTAGCTCAGGTCTTCAGAAATGCACTCCAAAGCTTGTCTCAAGTTCTTTTGCAGCCCTTTTAACTGCTGATGAAATTTCTGCCAGGGTGTCTTCACCTCTGATGGTATGTGGTCTGTAAGCAAGTACTTTATCAGCTCTGAATATCCAGCTGTTTTTGAAAAAACATCAACCTCTGACAAGAACTTCAGCAGCCTGCAACCAACATCCACTTCCCCATAGTATGAGTTGTTAAGCATGACCGTCTCTTTCTTTGGTATTTTTTCAGAAGCTCTAAAAGCAGATATTCCTTTGAGTGCAATGCTTATTATTTCAACTCCTCTTTGTGGTGAAGGGTCTTTTTCTTCAAGAGTGTCATACAAGTGGTAAAACCATCGCTTGTAAACCTGTCCCAGTGTGTCAAGGATGAATTGATCATGTGGAGACAACGACTTCGCTTCCTGTGCCCACTCAAGAGCCTCCTCAAATTTTTCATTTGAATAAAGCAGCCGGGCAAGTTGTTGTGCCACATAGGCATCCTTTCCCAAAGCTATGAATGCAGCTTTCATCAGGTCAACAGCTTTCTGAACACCAACTTTCTCAGTTTGGACTTCCTCAATTAGTGGAGAAAATGTTGTGTCCTTTGGATCTCCTCTGCTTCTTTTATTACGTCTAATGAAGAGAGCTCTTATTACCTTAAGAAACTGATCTCTTTCAAATCTGTGATTGATGAGTACATCATCTTTGATGAGCTCCATGGCAATAGAGCTTTGAGGCATATTAACAGAGAGCTGGCTCAGGATTTCTTTGGCCACTAGCAGATGAATGATACGGATAGACTGGATGTGTGTTGAGCTGTCTCTTAGATGGATGAAAATAAGCTTAGCTTCATCACTCAGATGATCAACAAAGGCATGGTACCGAGTTTCAACCCCATGCAGACCAATGCCAAGATACGCCTCACAGTGAGACACAGAAATGTAGGAATCCTTTACGTAACAGTTCAGTAAAGCCACGAATCTGATGAGGCGAGTGATCAGTGATGTATGATCAATTTTATCTAAAAGATTTTTAACAAAATCTTTTATGTAGCTTGGTTGGAACTCTTCACTCATAAGAACAAATGTGAGGATAAAGTTGAAGTCCAAGTCTTCAAATTGAAATTT